CAATTCTTTCTGTTGTTAAATTGGGAGCATCATGTGCTTCTACTGATAACACCAAAGCCGATTTGTTTAATAACTTTTTCTGTTCTGTGTACAAAAGCGAAACGTTTACGTATAACGGTTGTTCTGATAATACTTCCATTAACTTGCGCGAATTATCGTTTGGTGAAAGTGATGTAAATAGTTTACTTAAAAAGGTACCAGATACCACAGCAGTTGCAGCTGATGGCATTCCACCATTTGTTCTCAAATATAATGCTGATGCACTCACGCCTATGGTATATATTCTATTCAGTCAAATTGTTACCTGTTGAATTTGGCCCGATTTTTGGAAAGAGGCGTTTATCATGCCTTTTCATAAGTCCGGGTCAAAATCTGACATTACAAATTATCGTGGAATTAGTATTTTACCGCGCTTATCGCTTTGCTTGGAAAAACTGCTTTTTAATTTCATTTATTCTAATGTTCGACACAAACTTTCTCGTAGACAGCATGGCTTTCTTAAAAAGCGCAGCACGTTTACACAATTGTTGGAATATGTTGAAAAGTTTTACAAATGTATTGATGCCAATCAAAATTTCTGTTTTGTATATTTTGACATTCAAAAGGCTTTTGACTCTGTGTCACACAAACAGTTGCTGAACAAGCTGTCTTCTTTTGGTTTTGACGAAAATTTTATCATGTTAATTTCATCTTATCTTTCCAATCGGTCACAAAGCGTACGTATTAACAATATTCTATCTTACAAAGGTTAAATCTCTAGCGGTGTACCACAAGGAAGCATTCTAGGACCACTTTTATTCCTTATTTATATCAATGACCTCCCGGATGTTGTAAAGTATTCCTCACCGTCTTTATTTGCTGATGACCTGAAACTGCTTTATCGAGACAACTGTCATGACAATTTTCAGTCTGATTTAGATTCGGTAGAGACCTGGGCAACCCAAAACGGTCTTGATTTTCATCCAGACAAAACTAAATTCATTTCAAACAATAGCTTTATTTTCAACCTTTATCTAAACGGGTCAGAAATATGCTCTGTTGATCATATCAAAGACTTGGGTATTTATATCTCGCCTACTTTTTCTTGGAATCACCATGTTTCTGCGAAACTTGGTAAAGCCACGAAGTGTTTTCATTATTTAAAGCGTAATGTTCCTCTCAACTCACCTGTTAAAACTAAGCTTCAAATGTACATTTCTTGTGTGAGGTCCAGTTTACTTTATAACTCTTGTATTTGGTACCCAAATTTATCAAAGCTACGTGATTTGGAAAAATTCCAGAAAAAGGCAGTAAAGTGGATAATTGGTTCCACTAATTATACTGACAGTCTTGTGATGTTAAACATACTGCCTATTTGCTATCAAATTTTTTTTACTGATTGTCTTCTCTTCTTCAAACTAATACATAACTGTTATGACTTCGATATTAATGACTATGTTCAATAACCTTCAATCTCAACAATCCATGCATTTTTTTCATCAAATGCCGTTGCAACACATGTCGTTCCTGAACATTAAAAATTTAACTCAAAGCTTGAATTACGCAAACTCAAAATTTCACTTTTATATGTAGTATCATTCACTAATAAAGTCTCTTCTTCTTCTTCTTCTTCTTCTTCTTCTTCTTCTTCTTCCAGCTTGATACATCAAAGTATCAAATCAAGAGAGAGTCTTTTTCCATATTGCCGCTACAAATTGAAATTCACTCGTAAAATTGTTATAAACTCAACTAAGTTAAAAAAAAACGGAGAAAAAAGCATTTCAAAGAGAACAAAAAATAAGATGACAACACAAAATCGTGCTGGCGTGAATTCCGTTCAATTTATTTTAGTTTAACAGATTGAAAGGTCATTTAGTTCGCACCTTATAATCCCTATTGAATCAATAACGTTCTTCTAGATGTCAACTTTTTGCGCATTTTTAAAATTTATTTTTTTCTCAAATTTACATCTTTCTCAAATTGAAAAATAATTGTTTTTTTTGCTTTATTTTTATTGAATGCCATCGGAACTTTCTGTGCTTCTTCCAAAGTAACTGGCTATCCTTGTTGTTCCGACCTTGTTTAAATGGTAAAGGAATTTTGAGGCCGGTGGTGTTTTGCTTTTTTTCCTATGCGGAACCAGGTACCAAAAATTATCATTGGATTGATAGAATTCGGCGTATAATAGAAATGTGCAGAAATTTTATCTGGGTTTTTGATGCAACAGCAATTGAAGGAATGTTCAAAAGGTATAACAGTAATTTTCGTGGAAAACCGTGCAAAATCTTAAGCAGAAAGTCACGAACGCAGTAACTTCTTCTCTATAGCAGCCATAAACGGTTGGAATTCACTACCAGAGTCTTTAATTTCCAGCTTTTATATCAACTTGTTCAAATCGAAGCTGAATAAACACTAAGAGAGAAATGTCTGATTCATCTTTTCTCGAATAACGATTTGGGCCACCACAGAGGCAGCTGATCGACAGAGGCTGAGAAGCCGGTATATCAGAAGATACCGTTGTTCCTGTACCTGTGAATAGGTCGAGTTGTTGCTGTTCTGTAAGTTTTTCGGGATTTCTCCTGATAGGACTTCTCCTCTATTTATATATTGTTCTAAACTCAACTAATTTGAAAAAAAAACTGAGAAAAAAGCATTTCAAAGAACAAAAAATAAGATGACAACACAAAATCGTGCTGGAGTGAGTTCCGTTCAATTTGTTTTTGTTTAACAGATTGAAAGGTCATTTAGTTCGCATCTTATAATCCCTATTGAATCAATAACGTTCCTCTAGATGTCAACATTTTGCGCATTTTTAAAATTTATTGTTTTCTCAAATTTACATCTTTCTCAAATTGAAAAATATTAATTTTTTTGCTTTATTTTTATTGAATGCCGTCGGAATTTTCTGTGCTTCTTCCAAGGTAACTGGCTATCCTTGTTGTTCCGACCTTGTTTAAATGGTAGAGGAATTTTGAGGTCGGTGGTGTTTTGCTTTTTTTCTATGCGGAACCAGGTACCAAAAATTATCATTGGATTGATAGAATTCGGCGTATAATAGAAGTGTGCTGAATTTTCATCTGTGTTTTCGATGCAACAGCAATTGAAGGAATGATCAAAAGGTATAACAGTAATTTTCGTGGAAAACCGTGCGAAATCTTAACCAGAAAGTCACGAACGCAGTAACTTCTTCTCTATAGCAGCCATAAACGGTTGGAACTCACTACCAGAGTCTGTAATTTCCAGCTTTCATATCAACTTGTTCAAATCGAAGCTGAACAAACACTAAGAGAGAAATGTCTGATTCATCTTTTCTCGAATAATGATTTGGGCCACCACAGAGGCAGCTGATCGACAGAGGCTGAGAAGCCGGTATATCAGAAGATACCGTTGTTCCTGTACCTGTGAATAGGTCGAGTTGTTGCTGTTCTGTAAGTTTTTCGGGATTTCTTCTGATAGGACTTCTTCTCTGTTTATATATGATCATTGAGCATTTAAGCTCCTTCAGCCGTGATCAGACCGTTATTCGAAAATTTTCAAAGTACAGTCCCGGTGTTGAGAAAAACTAGTTTGAAAACTTTTGAGTTTCAGTCAAGCTTAGAGCGAGTAAAGAGATCGAGGGAAAATCGTAGTCAATGACATTTAGCAATTTAGTCCAGGCAATTCAAAACCAATACCAAAACCAAGGCCTCAATACCAAAACCGAACTGAATCATCAATACGAATACCAAACCCAGTCAATACCTGAATACTTTGTTGCAATACCTCAAAAACTATGAAAAAACTTTCAAACACGAAAAATTTTGGATCGAAATGTCTTGCATAAATTCTCTATAATTTTCTTATTACATATGTACAATGAACGGATATATATTGTATATCTCAGTCGAATCCTCTTGAAAAATTATCTTGCAATATTTTTTTTGTGATTTTAGAGTGATCTGAGACGAATCAGAACACGAAGAACCTGGTTTTGATCAATACCAGGGACATGGTATTGATCAATACCAATACCTGATTTTGTCAATGCCAATACCAATTTTTCACGGTATTGAATTCCCTGATCTAGTCTATCAAAATTTGATTTTACGAAAAGGAAAACAATTCTTGGAATCTCCCTATTGCGCTTTTCTGGCAAAAAATTACTTTACCAAGGCAGTTAGCAATTTAGTATTGGTATTGATGATTCAGTTCGGTTTTGGTATTGGTATTGAATTCCCTGGACTAAATTGCTAAGAAAAATTGAAAATATTTCAACACTTCTAAAATTGATTTTTTGAAGACAATTGTAGTCGTTTATGCCTAATTCAATAAATTTTCACGCGAATATATAGTTTTTTCATCACACGGTGCACAAGAAAAGACACTAGTTTGAAAAAAAAGTTTCTGACAATGGGTCGTAATATACTGTGTTATGTCACAGCAACCGGCTGCTGTCCTTATTTTAACCACCATTGAAAATTGTATTCAGTGTGTTTAAGTTTTTTTTGTTTACCACCCAAAATCAGGTACCACAAATAATCATTGGACTGGGTTGATTGATATATCATATTACAGTCGTGATTCGAACCAGATTAAAAAATGTTGAAAAAAGTTTCTCAGTGTCGAGAAAAACCAGTTTAAAATTTTTGATTATTGGCTTTATTTCGACCGATTAAAGCGAGCGAGCAATCTTATTATGGCTTAAAGATAATAATAGCTTAATGTAAAACCCAAAAACAATGTTACTTGGGTAACTTCAGTTTACTTTGAGTATTTTAACGCTTTATTGAAATGCAAAACTTGATTGTTTTTGATTTTCTTTCATTTTTCAAGAAACTTTTCAAAAAAATTGGTTTTCAATTTGCTTATTTTACTATGACTGTCGAATACACCTAGTCTCCAGTTTTTTGTACATCATATATCTAATCCACCACGCCGAAAAAAACGACAAAAATTTGAAAAAACTTTGTGTTTTTTTAAGACTATTCAGTGCTTCTTGCACAGTAACCGGCTATCCTTGTTCTTGTTTTGTTTTCAGTTTGGCGATCTATTTTCAGATGATGTAAGGGCTTCAGCGTCTGTCTTTGATCTTCGATGGAGCCAAAAAAGCTTTATATCGCTCGCTCGTACGCTGAGCTGCGCGAACGCTATGCGAAAGAAATGGAATTCGAGAAGAAAAATACATTTGCGAACTACATACAAAGTGCTGCCCGAGCCTACGATGCTTTTCTGGATGCCAAGAAAAACGGGGACGAAGAAAGGTCTTACTGCTTGGCTATGCGATACTGCAACATATATTCGATGCTTAGGAAACAGTTCCCAGATAAACGCAGTGATTTAAAAATTGAAATGCCCCATCTAGAAAACGCATTAGTATCGGGAGAAGAACTAGCAAGCCAATTAAAGAAAAGATATGAAAAATTATCACAATCGAAAAATGATCCTGGTACCCAAAAATCAGGAGAAACTGACGCAACACAACGACCGGAAATTAACAACAACAGAAAAAGTTCAAAAGGAGACAAGAAACCGAGATCGCAGAGTAATTCAATTGTGGAATCTGAAAAGGAGACAATAAGTGTAAATGAGTTTTATCAACTTGTCAAGTCAAGAAACGATGATATTTTACTATTCGATCTGAGAGAGGAAACTGACTTTTCTACTTCCCGAATTAAAATAAACTACCAGATTAATATTCCTGAGTCTTATTTGAAAGAAAAAGAGGCTGTCACGTCTAAAGACATAGAGCTTTGTCTCGAAGAGTATAGTCTGAGCATTTGGAACAAACGGAACACGTTCCATTATCTAATAATGTGCGACTGGCTTGGTTTGGATCAGAATTTTATTTACGGCAATGTTTTTTCAGTGCTCAGAGATTGTCTGCTGAAATGGTCACCAGAACATCCAATAACTGTCAGTCCTGTAATTATCTCTGGCGGCTTTAGAGAAGTGCTTGATTTATTTCCTACTTTGACAAGCAATGCTAAAATTGATAAACCTCAGTATGAGAAAAACAAGTCAATTCTGTCCAAACTTGATATATCAAAGCTGAGCGTAAAAAATGAGCCTGAAAAACCAATGTTACCGAATCCTGAAATCATAAAAGTGCCTAACGGTGTGGTAAGTGGAAAACCAGTTGTTGACAGATCCAATAAACCAAAGCCGAAGACAATCGTCTCTGAGAAGATTCCGACTGAAAACTTCGAAATGAATGGCCTAGCGTCTTACCCTGACATTCTGAGCGAGTTATCAAAACAGGCGCCAAGTGTCATTAGTCCATTACCAGACGTAGCTGCTACCAACTTGAAGCATGTCGATTCAGTAATTGACCCTCTCTCTGTGAATTCGATTTCGGAAATAGAGAAACCTAAAAGTAAACCAGTACCAAAAGTAGACCGATCTCTCAAACCGCGCCTTATTGTGCCCCCAATTGAAAAAGATGATCCAACGGAAATGAAGAAGCTGATGCTAGAACTCGAGAGAGAAAGAAAAGCAAAAGTGCTCTTAGAAGCTGAAATTGGAAGGCTTAAAAATGAAGTAAGTAGATCGTCAATTATTGACGTAACAAAAATTGATTGAGTTATCAATATTGCGTTAGGGCAAATCTGATTTCCAATTGCAGCAAAATTCGAAGTTTTTATAAATTGTCTTTCAACATAGCTTAAGGCCTGAAAAAGTTTCGGCTCAGCATTCAACTTATGGCTTAGCTATTTAAGATGAAATCTTTTTTTTAGCATGCAAAAGAGGCAGCGAAATCTGAAAATGTAGCGCCTCAGGGGAAAGTTAATGATCTCGAGCTTTTGCGGGAGAAAAAGCCGATTGCTAATAAGCCGATAGTTCCGACGGTCAATGAAGTTGTTGATAGAGAAATGCAGAAAGAAGATGGAGCTGTAAACTTATCGCGCCAAGAGCAACAAACAAGATTGCCCAGTGAAGATGTTGATCCCACGGCAACTAAAGACGAAGCTGAGAGGAGTAGACGTACTATGGAAACACCGGAATCAAACAACAGTAGTAGTTGGTATTTTAATGTTTTGAAATGTATCGATTAAAATGAGTAAATTTGTCATTTTTTAATAGAAACACCTCTAATTGTTTGTGCTCAATAGAATATTTTTTGGAGCAATTTTTTGGTGATCCAATAAATGACACGAAAAGACCAATATTTGTTCTCGAATTTTTCAGGCATGGAAGGCTCTGAAGTCAAGTCGTACGTTCAGAATCTGCGCGATGATGGCTCTTCATCTCTGTCTAAAACCTCAGGCTTGTCATCTCTCAAAAGAACAAATTCTTCGCCGAGTTTTGCAAATAATCAAATATCGGGCAGAGATGGATCAGTTAATGCTGTGGCAGGTAAACCTTCTCCGATGAGAGACCGGAAGCCAACTGCCGCGATGGTTCTAGAAATTGACAGAGCTCATCTAAAGAATTTCCAGGTCATTATTGAGTCTCAGAACGAAAGTAAAATTTAACCAACTATGTTGTTATTGTTGATTATTACGCAAGAAAATGCGTGCTATATTACGAGGTGACTTTTTCCAATCTAAATAAGGGCTCAACAAGTTTGTGCCACATAGGCTGCTTAGCAGTTTAGCAATAGAAATTCATGGGCATGTGTGTTGTCCATTTTATTGGCGACTAGTGTATAAGAGCACGACGGCGGTATGGTTCAGTTGGCAGGATTTTATGCTCTAAATCCGAGCGCGGGGGTTCGAAACCCGTAGGCGGGAATTTTTCTGATTTACTTTCTCATTTAATTTTTTTCATGTGATGTTTTTTATCTTATTTGCTATTTGTTTGCAAACTGCAGCTTTCCCTTCGTGTAAAAATTGTATCAGCTAAGAAACGGTTGAACGAAATGCGAATTGGCTCAGTTTTTTAGACCCTTGTTAGATTTTATGCTTTGTTCTGATTTTTAAATTATTTCTCATGCTTGTAAAGTAACTGTCTTGAATGTGGGGAACGATAGAAACGTACTATGCTTAAATAGGCCTAGTAGCCTTTTATGGATTTTCTGCGAATCGCAGAAACCACAATTGATTTGTTTAGCCTGAGTATGGGAACGTGTCCAATGGTCGCTGTGGTCTTCGCAATCTGGGCAACACTTGCTACATGAATGCATGTCTGCAGTGTCTCAGCCATACATATGTGCTGCGGGAATACATTGTCAGGTATAAATTGAATTGGTCCTCGGAGCGTGCTTATGTAGTATTAAGATAATTAAGTGTAAAAAGACGAAGTGATTTTCACTTATATGCGTCTTGAAGATTTTTTAGTTTGTTTTTCACGAAAAAGTCTAAAAATGGTCTAATAACTACAGATGTGCATTCATCCATTTTTACACTCGTGCGCTGGTGAGCGTAGTGTATTAGTACGAGCTTTCTTTTCAAAGGCTTTTGTACAAGTCTTCTTTTTTCCCCATCCTAACTCGCAAATAAAAGTTCACTTTTGGTGGAACTTTTGCTATAATCATGATCTGTAGCAATGGAGTTTTCTTAGCATCTGTTCTCTACTTTATCTCTGGCAAGTGTTTGCTATTTCTAAGCGTCCGTGGCTGAGTAGTTAGTGCGTGAGACTTATGATGTTTACCTGGCAGATCGAATCCGAGACGTAGCCGAATTTTTGTTTAATTCGAGGTTTATTTGTACTTTTTCTTATTGCACTTTATAGAGCTGCTTTTTTGTGTAATGCGTCGCCTCTATGTAATGCATTTTTGAAGGCAATTTTTGAGTTCATTTTAAATTCGTTTGCTAAAAATTAAGTAAAACGCACTCTCACTTTGGAAAGCGGAAATGGTGTGAAAAAACGTGAACGACTTCTAGTTTCAAAAGTGGATTTTTACACTAGAGAACTTAGGTGAGCGTAAGTGTTATACTACGACTATTCTTTTTTTTTCTAACTTAAGTCGCAAATATTGGTGCCCTTGTAGGGCCACCTTTACGGCTTTTTGATAGCTTGTGCTTTGACATTTGAATAGTCGTTAACACAGTTGCTGCATTTATAATTCATTAAATGAACCGAAAAAAAGCTATTTGCTACAAATATAAAAACAATAAATACTCGATTTCAGAAGTTTTCTAACTCAATATATCTCGCAAATTTGTGAAATGCATAATTTCTGCATAATATGGCTTTATGCTTTCCAATGAATTACATGCAAAATTAGTGTGCATGCCTTCAGTTTAATATATTCCAAGCTATTACTTGCAAAAATAAGTCTATTTGTATTTGGTATTCACTAATTCGAGGTTTATCATATATATTTTTTTATTTCTCTTTATAAAGCTGCTTTTTTTTCTCGTGTTCTCGGCTCTGTATTTTTTAGATTTACCAACGGAAAAAAATTATCCATTGATCCAGATTGCTTATTTGGGTTAATATTATTAAGAAGTGTCAATCATTCGTATATTGTTTTAATAATTTCAAAGAGTTTTATCTTTTTTTTTCTGGTCAAAAGTTGAAAAAGGTTAAAAATTTTTCAATCATTTTTTTGGTTTCCTTTTCTTTACACCAGTAAATTTCAATGAGCGTTTGTGTAATAGTACGTCTATTCTTTTTTTCTAACCTAAGTCGCAAATATTGGTGCCACTTATCGTGGCACCTCTACGGCTTTTTGAAAGCTATTTGTTTCAGAACAACATAACAATAATAAAAATTCAATTTCAGAAATTTCCATCTCGAGGTATCTCGGAATTTTTTCAAATGGCATAATTTTTACATAATGTGGCTTTATGCTTTCCAATTTATTACATGCAAAGTTAGCGTGGATGCCTTCAGTTTGTTTAATTTCAAATTGTTACATGCAAAAGTGTGTCCATTTTTATTTGGTAACACTTTTGCTGAATCGCATTGGCGATTTATTAGCATATGTAGCTGCTATGTTTGTGACTAGTGTTTGTCGATTTCTGTTCGTGGCCGAGAGGGAAGGGCGTGAGACTCCAAGAGGTTGCAGGTTCAAAGCTAATACGTAGCAAAGTTTAGCTACTTCCAGGCTGATTTCTATTTTTTCTTGTTTCACTATAAAGCTGCTTTTTGGCGTGTTCTCGCTAGTGTTTGCGAAGTACCTCTGTGTACACTTTTCCAACTTTTGTTGGCTGTGTTTATAATTCAATCAAGTTTGCCCGGTAGTTGAGCCAGCAGCATATTTTGTGCCACGTCTATGCTCCTGGGCTTATGGGATTATTTATATGGAAATGTTTTCTAAAAATCAGTAAAAATGTTCAATCCACTTCCAAGGTTTTCAAAAATTACATATTTGGAGTGCAGTTTGGCAAAGTATTACTCAAAGTCTCATTTGATTATGACATCATTTCTACCCAGCACAACGCGCTGTGTTTTGTCGAAACTAAAAGAAGATTTGATATTGGAATCCGAATCACGACTCAATTGTTTTTTTTCCAACAGGGGAAAATTCTTCGACTACTTGAACCCGAATAGCAAGGAAGGCATGGGCGGCTATATAGTGTACGAGTTCACCCTTTTGTTGAGAGCCCTGTGGAATTCACAGTACAGAGTGGTGAGCCCGGTTGATCTGAAGGCGGCAATGGGCAAGTATAGGAAGCAGTTCAAAGGCACGGATCAACAGGACGCACAGGAACTTCTCATCGCTTTACTAGGTGAAAATTTTTATTAGGATTTAAGGTTATTTTTGTAATGTTATGAGACAATGCTTTTATTTTTTTTCGGAAAGGACTATAAAAATACAAAAAGTATCATAAAGGACTAAGTGTTAAATGTGAAAAATCGTTCGGGAAAATAACTAAATGCATCTAGTTTGCTTAGGTGAACACCTGCCATCATCAACTTTGTCTGTGATGCTAAAAAAATTTCGTTGCGCTTGTTTGGCCATACTAACTGGGATTTTTTGATTTTTTTGCTCTAAGTTTCATAGATAATAATTGTAGACTGATAATTAATACATGTATTCTCAGAATGCAAATGTGACAATTTAGATGGGCTGCACGAGGAAGTGAACATGGCAGGCGAGAAGCGAGTTCGCTCCATTACAGACAGCGAAATGGCCAACAAGTCAGACTCGGAACTGGCAAAAATCTACTGGGATAACTACTCTCTGAACAACCGGTCTATCATAGTCGACATTTTCCAAGGCCAATACAGAAGTGTTGTCCAATGCACAGCTTGTTCTAAAAAGTCAACTACTTTCGACGCTTTCATGTACCTGTCGTTGCCTATTCCGAGAACAGGATCTAAGGCGACGCTCTTTGATTGTTTTGAGCTGTACTGCCAACCGGAATACATCGAATGGAGCTGTCCTAATTGTAAAGTGTTGAGAAAAGCGACGAAGAAGTTAGACGTATGGCGGTGGCCTAAATATTTGATTATTCACTTGAAGAGGTTTGAGTTTCTGAATGGATACAATCGCGTGAAGATTCAGTCTAAAGTTGAATTTCCGATGACGTTGACCTCAGATCCATCTTGGAAGGTAAGCTTGTTGTGTCACCTTTTGAAGTAATGTGCAGTGAGTATCGAAGGTAATATTGAGGCTACGGGTTTATAAAAAGTAAACACGGTTTTCCGCTTCAACAAACGACCAATACTATTTCTCGCATTGTGTGTTTATTTTATTATTTTAGTTTTCAACTAAATATGCTGACAGACAGTATTCAAGGCTTTTCAAACATTTTTTTAAGAGTCGATGAACGTAGTTCAGATTTTTAAATAAGTCGCGATGATTTTTTTTCCAGGAAAAGTCTTAAAATTTGTTTAGACTCAAATTCACTTTTTCGATGTTTACACTAGCGTTAGCTTAGTGTGTTATTAAGAACCTTCTTTTTTTCTAACCTTACTCGCAAATAAAAAGGTTCATTAAGTGTTCAATCATAAATTGTTTTAGAAACTCTAAGAGGTTTAAGGACATCTTTTCTTTTTGGAAATTCGGAAGTAGAAAGCTTTTCAAAAAACAAGTTTTTCCCGTTTACTTGCGTTCATTGACTCTTTTCCAACTGTCTGTTGGCTATACTTTTTTCCCTCAATTACTGATTAGTTGAGCAGCAATGCTCTGCAAGGCGAAAAGAAATCAAGCAGGGAGAGATTGTAGCTTTGAATCATCCTATTCTAACCCATTTTTTAAGTTTTCAAACTGTAAAAGAACGAAGTGTTTTTCACTTTTTGGGGTGTCTTTTTTCGTTTTTTTTTTCATGAAAAGTCAGGCTCGAATTTACTGAGGTTCACTGAATTCGAAAGCTGAGATTTTTTCACAAAAGCAAGTCAGTATTTTGTTACTGTATACCTGCGTGCATTGACTCTTTTCCAACTGTCTGTTGTTTATGTTTTTTTAAGTTCAGTGCATTTAAAAGGGTTTTAACGTGAAATATTTTTTCTTGGAAAGTTGAAAAATGTTAAATTTTTAAATCATATATATATATATTTTTTTGATAATTCATTGACATTTTTTCAACCATCTGTTGGCTATGTTTTCCAGAGTAAACTGGCGTCGGACAACTTCAGCTTGTATGGAGTAGTGCAGCACTCTGGGACCATAGACAGAGGACACTACACTGCCAATGTGTACATTGAGAGACAAAACCGACAGTGGTTCAAGTTCGATGACTCAACAGTCTCTTCAATCTCGCAGAGTGCGGTGGTGTCTGAGAATGCATACATATTATTCTACACCTCTTTATCGTAAGAGCGAAATCAACCTGTCCTCGACTTGCTCAAAGGAGATGTGTCCAATATAGAACCTCTACATGTCATCTACGATCAGCTGTTTTTGCCTTGTTCTCTCTCGCCTCTGGAAATGATGAAAAAATAGACGTTTACCTGACGAAATCTGAGACTCGTCAATATAAAATCTTAACTATTGATTATTTTCTGGGCCATTGGATGAAAATTATACCCTCATACGGAACTATGGTAGAAAACAGTTGAGCTGCATTTTTCTTTCGAAACTATCAGATACGTACAGTAAACGAACGTAACAATAAAGAGGAGAGTTATATTTTCAGTGTTACGGCACCTGTCTCTGCGATAATACAAGTAGTGTTAGAATTTAAAACTTTAGTTGTACAATCAGTAATTTATTTTTCCTAAATAAGTATATATTGCTACTGTTTTCATTGTTGAATTTTCTATTATCAGAAAAAAATTAAAATTTCTATATGAAAGTATTTTGGAGCTTGACTAATGAAGCATCAATCAACGAAATGAAGACTCGTAGGTCGAGTTTTTGTAAATTTTTTGTTCCGACCACTGAAAGTGGAAAGGAACGTTGTCTTTGGTTGTGCTTTTTGTTACTTTTTTTTACCACAAGTAATCATCGGATTTTGTCGAATGATATATCATATTTAAGTCCCTGCAGTTATGACTCCAGCAAAATATATAAAAAATTTCAAAAAGTTGTCTCAGTGCGAAAAAAATTACTTGAATATTTGGATCGAGGGTTCGTGCACAAATTCGTGTCTAAATACCAACAAACGTTTCTAAATACCAAGCAACTTGAATTTTTGGATCCATGTTTGATGCATAAGTTCGTATCTGAATATACCAAAAAAAGTGTCTAAATACCAAAAGACTCGAATTTTTGGATTGAGGGTTCGTGCACAAATTCGTATCTAAATACCAAAAAACGTTTAAATATCAACAGACTTGAAATTTTGTATCGAGGGTTGTGCGCAAATTCTAGAAAGACAGAAATCTCCTAGTCTAAGTATAGTCTTTTTCGATGATAAAGTTACTAGGGCATAACGTCGCTAATTGATGTCCTGTGGTTCAAAGCCACTGAAATCGCCGCTTTTTGCATCAGGATATAAAAATTCCAGATGTAAGGAAAGCCTAATTAATTAATTCAGGACGTATTAAAGGTTTTAAAAGCTTTCCCTTATTTAAGTTTTCGTATTGGAGACCAGGGGTGCATCTAGGATTTTCTCGAGGGACCGGGGGGTTTGGATTTTCAAAAAAATTTCAAATTTTATCGACCTTTTTTATTTTTTTTAGGTCGAAAAAATTGAATTATCGAGCTCTCACAAATCACTGTAAAGACCTTTTTTTCCAAATTTTCTGCGCCGCAAGCGAAACTTTGATTTTTCGAAATTCTGAAAAAACAGGCCAAAAAAGGCGGTTTAGGCACTTTTTGGAAAAACTTGACAAAAAAATCACGTTTTTTCGGCGCGCGCTTCCCCCTCAGTTTTTGTTTATATTGGCGCCAAAAGCGCCTTTAGAAAAAACTTAAGGTCCTTCTGCGAAAAATGGATATCTTAAAATAGTAAAAAAGGGACCGCCACCCTCCCCCCTTAAATCCGCCACCCTCCCCCCTTGAATCCGCCACCCTCCCCCTTAAATCCGCCACCCTCCCCCCTTAAATCCGCTGCCGTTGTAGATGGATTTAAATGATCTGTCACACCTAACCGTCTTCAATTTAGTTTATAACGTTAGTTTAGCAGTAGAATTTTGGAACGGGTAACCGGAAGTGGCGATGGGGGGGTGGTGCGGGTTCCATTTTTGTAGTTATTTACTCCTATGACCATTTCCCGCCCTCGATTACCGGTGTCTGCACTACTAATACTAAAGTTAAATGTGGCATCAATTAAAATCCTTTTCAGTCATATTTCAGAAAAATAACGAAATTCCAAAACTCTTCCCTCCGGTAGACGCGAAATAATTGCTAGGCATATTTTCGATATTAGGGCTCGATTGACTTTTAATCACTCTTTGATGTTAAATTACAGTTTCTCACGGCCTCGATTGATAGTTAATTAAGGCTTTCTCTGACTCAAAAATGCTGAAAAGGAAGAATAAAAAACAATAAGCAGAGGTCAACTTTAATCGCGAACTGGAGAATCTTTTTGCTTTAAAAGGAAATAGGGTTCAGCGTGTCGCCCATTTTGCCTCTTTTGCGAGAAAAATGAAGCGCATTGCTTTGTTCTTTATTTTTTATATTTAACGGTTCATTGTTCCATCCCTGTAAGAAAGTTATTCCTTATTGAAGTACCGAGTGTTAAAGAGCTGGCTTGGATATGTAATTTTTGGTGGTTTTGAAATGCGAATCGCTGGCATCATCAATTAAGATACTGATTCAATGCAAGGAAAGAATCGAACGCACCACTGTTCACCTCTTTAGAGAGAAACACTGTCGTTTCATAAAGACTTGCATGCAATTGTTGGCTTACTTTGTGATCTGGGTTATGTTACCCCTCCCTCGAGCATCACGATCTTCGAGGGATCATTGTGGGCCCCGAACCACCGACCTTACGACTGAGACCTTAGCCACTTAGTCATGGCTCACAGCATCAGAATTCAATGGGCATCTAACCCTGTAGTTTCGACTGAGACCTTAGGCGCTTAGGCATCTCAATGCAATACAATCTAACCCTGTTCTAGTTTGATGGTCGGTTTCAGAACACATGTGCTACATTGCTTTGAAAGAATGATCCTTCGAACTCTAGCCTCGCTAAAAGCAGGCAAACAGCTTTGCACCTATTGCAAATTCAGAGCCTCGTCTATCCGCTCTTTTTCTGAGAATGGAACCAAATCAACGGTGCTGCCACAACATCTTATCACAGACTTCGAGTTTCAGATTTCAGGTACTTTATCTAAGAGCACTGAAATTTAGCTATTAAACTATTTAAATTCAGATCAATTCAAATGGCAAAACGTTTTTATTGAGTTTTTGATAAGTATTTTTGTCAATTCTCTCGTTTTTTCCACGAATATATATTTTTGCAAACTGGAAATGGGATTTGGAGGCATCTGGTATTTTAAGTTTCCCTGATTTTAGAATTCATTTATTTCAGAAGCGGATTTCAAAGATTTATCGGAGCTTTACTTGAACTCTTTGGCAGATCATTTGGACGGATTAGCCTCAAAGGGAGTGATCGAGAGGGATGACTTCGACGTGGAACATAGTGGAGATGTTCTGACTGTGAACACTGGTATTCGAAATATGAAATATGTCATCAATAGACAGGTTGGAAAATTTTTTCCCCATCATACTTCCTCTTTACAGTTACTTTTCTCCATGATGCAAAAACCCTTGCGGAAGTCTTACATTTGACTATTTTGTACTCTCCGTCCCCAGATTTGAATGTTTACTATTTTCATAATAGTTTTATGTATGTTAATACGGCTAAATGTGTAAGTTGACCATGTCGACTATGAAGAACAAATGTGTTCACAATAATTAGTTTTTTTGCAATGCAAAACTTCATTACATTATGAAAATGCCAAAATAGTTTTTCAAAACTGAATTACAAAAGAGAGAGGAAGTTATTTTGTTACTAGAGCGAGGGTAATAACGGAACAGCCAAGATTTAGCTGAAGCTGGTAGAGTAAATTAACCAAAATTTTGTTCAAAACAGACAGGTTGGATTTACTTTTTGCTCATGGTTATTACAAGCCTGTTAGGATGTTGCATGATTGCTTTGAAAGGTTTTTTTTTAAAGCGTATCGTATATATTTGTTCGTTCTCTTTTGTCAGTTTGTCTTCTTCTTAGCATGTTCGAACTTAGTTTCTAGCAACATCCGCTCTAAATTGTTCTGGCTATGGTTGAGATTTTTAATAAAATTGTTCAAGTTATATTTCAATCATTGGGGGAGTATATATAATATAAAAAAATATAGGGCATTTTAGGCTCAGTGGTCTACCTAAGATTCGGCTGCGTAGTTGCTGCCCGGTAAATTTTTCTGAATGCTAGTTTAAAGCTGGCAATCTTGTTTTGCGACAGGTTTTCATTTTGATTTAATTCAGTTTGCCATAAAAATTATTTTAGGTTTTTCGCCTTTTCGATTAGCTGCCATGCTATGTTTGTGTTGCATCTCCAATTTTGCTAAAATCCACTTCGCCACTTTTAGCATAATTTCCAAACCCTCCTCAAGACCCCTATACCCCCCCCCCCCCCCCACAACTCAGCATTGCAGAAAACTGGAAAATATGCAAAAAGACCATTTTTTTAAATTCCGCAATGTGGTCCGTGGTTTTAACATTCTGTGGTGCCTGTACAGCACTTCCCATTTTCATTGTATATTCATTTTGGAATTGTTTTAGACTCCCAACCGTCAAATGTGGCTCTCATCTCCTCTCTCAGGCCCCTTCAGATACGACTACATGGACAGAAGTTGGATCTACAGACGAACAAAAGAGAAGATGGTCACTCTACTAGACAGAGAATTCAAACAACTCTACTCGGAAGACTGTCAATTTGCACCATTTGAAAGTACTTTTTTCAAAAAGGAAAACTAAATAAGTTAACTTTCACATAGAAAAATTATCGTGTTATAACATTGATTCTTGAAAGTTGTTTGTATATTGTATATAATTGAGATACAAGCTTTTGAGTTTTTGAACAGTAATCAACTCAGTCTCAAAAGTTATACCATTTCTCAGAAATTGATCGTTTTTTTTGGTAGATCTGCTCGGTTGTCGTGTTTTATCAATGCGTCGTACAAAAGAGCTTAATATTCTTCAAGTTGAACAAAAACCATCAGATATTAGCATTCGCCAAAAAACCACTTAGATAATGATTCAGTTACAGGTTAGACATGTCAACTTGGTGCTGAACGTTTTTAGCTTAGTCCATAGTCTTTATCAAGAAAAATAGTACATAAAGAGTGTACCAGTAACTTTTATTTATTGTTGATTTGTTTTGGTGTTACACTTTGAGACTTCTAAAAATGAGAGACAATTTGAGTGTTGCTTTTACTTTCGTTAACAAATCTAGACTCGGTTGACCTGATTCTAGATATTATTCCATCTTAACGGTATCAGGTACATGCCTTCTTCGATCAAAAATTCCGCAAAATTTACACTTGCGGGCTTAATGTAATAATACGACTTTCGTTTTTTCTGTCATGAGTCACAAATATTGGTGCCACTTTTGGGGAACCTTCACACTTTTTTGATAGCATGTGATTTGACATTCTATTAGAAATAAATTAACACAGTTAATGCATTTCTCATTGTTCAAATGAAACAAAAGAGCTATTTCTTTAAATAGCAGTACAAAATATCAGTAGAAACTTGAATTTTTTGAAATATAATTTAACCATAATTTGGCTTTATGATTTCCAATTTGTTACTTAGAAAGTCAGCGTGGATGCCTTGAGTTTGTTATATTTCAAATTTTTACATGCAAAATTGTGTCTGTTTGTGTTTGGCGCCACTTATGCTGCATTGCTTTGGAATTTGATTAGCATATAGAGCTGCTTTATTTGTGGCTAGTGTTAGTAAATTGTCAGAGGCTCGTGACTCAGATGAGAGGACAGTGGATTTTTAGTCTCCTGGCGTAGAATCGAACCTACCACAGTAAAAAGTTTGTTTTTAAACGCTTATTTTAACCTTCTATTCATTTTCCACCGTTTTTTTGTCGTTTTGTCGCTAGTGTTTGCGAAGCACAGCTTCGACTCGATGTCAATTATTTGATTCTGGTTGTTTATTTTTGTCGGCTTAGTTCCTGTTGCACAGACTCTTTTTTGCAGGTTTAGTTTTCTTCTTATTTCCTGAATGAGAAAATTTTTGCAGGTTTGGTTTTCTAATTATTTTTTTTGAAGTGTTTTAGGTCTGATTTATTAGGTATGCGATTAGCAATCGTTATCAATTCTGTTCATAGACTTAATCTTGTAAACAAATCGTCCAACAAAATCACTGAATCATTTTCTCAAAGCTGCATTTTCGTCTACCAACAGACGTATTTTGAGCATTTATATATATATTTTTTTACTTGCTTCGAAAGTTGCTTCGGTTCAAACTTAATCGGCTTAGTGGCATCATATTGCACCATTAGATGAGCAAAACAAGTTTTAGTTTTTTAGGGTTAGTTCACGTTTTGAAAGAATTTTTTTGCTCAACGGATGTCTGCTCAAAAATTTTCGGCTTTAATACCGCTTTGTGTCTATGCAAATGTATCTTTCAACTGTCTTATTCGTCATTTTTTCTAATCAAATTTATTCAAAACAAAGATGTGACAATTTCGATAGATTTAACTTTTTTCAATTCATATCAACAACTTTTTAGAAGTAGTGGGTTTAGGGGTTTTAACAGTAGCAGGTTTGGTGGGGGGGGGGGCCCTCTCAGGGATTCGACCTCCTGCCGACCTAAAGGGGCCCCCTTTGTACTATTTTGAGATATATTTTTTTGGTGAGGTACCCTAACATTTTTCTAAAGGCGCCTTTGGCGCCAATATATTCTAATTTTTGAGGGTGGGGGGAGCGCGCTCCGAAAAAACGCGATTTTTTGGTCAAAATTTTCCAAAAAGTGCCGAAAAAGGCCTGTTTTTCAAAAAATCGCCTGCAGCGCAGAAAAAAATTGGGGTGTTTATAGTGATTTGGGAGAGCTCAGAAAATCAATTTGGTCGACCTAAAAATATATTATATGCTCAGTTTACGAAAAAAACTAATTGGTTTGCTGTTTTTCTTCAGATCTAGCATGTATTATAGATGTTCTGTACATTGAATGTATGAAGTAGTTTAATTCGTTTCTCTCAAACTGGATACCCAAGTTATGTAATTTTATCATCGGCTGATTTGTGATGCCGTCTACTTACTTGACCGCTAATGGAAAGCGTGAGCTGGAGGTGAAGCCGGCCTACTCGTGGCTGGGGGACAAAATGAGACAGGCTGTCAGTCATGACGTCATCTGCACTGTCGGCTGTGGGGGAGTGGAGTGCAAGTTTTGTGTACCGGAGGGCAAGTTCGATAAACAGGTTTGTAAATATAGTTTTCGCAATTAATGTTTTGTTTGCAAATATTGTTCTGTCGATCGCAAAATGTTTCCCCAATCTTCTTGCTCATTTTGACGAAGTAAACAAATTTTTCACCCATCTAAACGCATATAACTCGGGTGACAAAAAATCTGAAACTAAGAAGCACCGTTTTTGGACCAAAATAAATTACCTTATCATTTGGCAAACGTTATGAAATAATCCATAAAATTGATAATTTTAAGTCGATTTAAATTGATTGTCCTGGATAAATAGGGAATAACTTAAATCGATTCAAAGTTGTTGTAAATCGATCTCTATAGAGATAGAGGATTAGCTACATTTTCTTATAAGAATCATTCTAGTCCATGTTTTTAACTAGATCCTCTTCGTATTCGTGTTTAGGATTTCGTGATTGAAGGCTTGTTTTCCAACTGGGTGGAGCCACACTTCGTGGCCATCTCGAGGCCATCCACTCGAGCCATGGAGAAGTTCCACATCGTGGACCAGTTTCTGCAGCTGGGAGTGAAATCAATTGTCAACTTAACTACTCCAGGTGCGTTTTCGGAGGATTCCTGCTTAACCTATGCAACTCGTCGTTAATCTGCTTGACTGCAGTTCTTCTAATAATTTACATCAAAACCGTTTTTAACTTGTCTTCAATCGTAATTCAAAACCTATAAAAAACAGAGTGTTTACTTGTTAGTTATGTTTGTTGATTAAAATGTCGCTCGTTAATTGTTGAATGTTTTTCTTTCTCTCGAGAATTGAAAAAAAATAAATAAGACCATGAGCGTGCGTTTGATCCAGGAGAGCACAGCAACTGCGGGTTTGAGCTGGAGTCCAGTGGATTTTCCTACATACCAGAGGACTTCATGAGAAGGGGAGTCTTCTTCTATAACTTTCCCTGGCCAGATTTCGGAACCGCGAACAACCACGAACTTCTAGACGCCGTACAGGTGAGCTGATTGTGATGACATGAGATTCATCGAGGTTAAAACTCTTAGTTGAAACGTAGAGAGAGATTAAACATTCGATTTGACCTGATCTATCAAAATTAAGGTCTGATTTAATTATGATCTGATTCTAGATTTATTGGTGTGTCTATTAGCACTTCGAGTTTGACCAACTGTCGAAATGTTTCAAATAAAATAGTTTACCGTGATATTAATAATTCATACCCATAAATTCAATGCTTATATGTCGAATGCTTGAGAGTTTTTGAGTAACATCCATAATGAGAAGGTGTGAACTAATTGAAATTTTTATCCATAATGGAAAAATTACACTTGCGATCAGCGTAGTGTGTTCTACGGACTTTTTTTTCCTAACCTAACTTGCCAAAAAAGTTTTCATTGAAAGTGGAAAGTGTTCATTTATTTGGTGGCACATTTGTTGTAATCACGATCTAGCATTAGAAATTTCATAGCATCTGTTCTCTGCTTTATTTGTGGCTAGTGTTTGTGATGTATGATGTATTAATATAGCGTGGCTTAGTGGTTAGTGTGTGAGGCTCATAATCTCTAAGTCGGAGTAGGTCGGAAGATCGAATCCGAGACAGCCAAATTTTTACTAATTCGAGGCTTATTTTCACTTTTTCTGATTGCACTTTATGCAGCTTCTTTTTGTCGCGCTCGCGCTAATGTTTTCAAAGCGAATCTTGGCCTCTATGTTTGATTTTGTTTTTCATTGATAACAACTCTAACTACCGAAAATTTTTTCGGCCAATCATCGATCTCAATATCATTGCACCAATCAACAGCATTGGTGCTGAGACCAGGTCAATTTAATTTAATAACAAGTCATTGGATCTTTCGAAACCTGCGAAGGCACTAGCTTGGCTTCTTCTTCTTCTTCTTGCTTCAGGAGGCCCTGGTCAGTGCTCCGCACTGATATGGGCACGTCCCATCCTTCTGAGGTATGTGAACAGGTATCCGGGGTTGTTGAATAGGCTTTCCATGTCGTCATCTCGTCCGGTCAGTTCGTGTCGTATGTGGGCGCCTCGTTGGCAGCTGAGTATATAGTTTACGGTGTCTGGCTCTCCACAGTCCAGGCAGCCGGGGTCTTCGATGGCCCAAATCTGGCCAGGTCAGCTCTGGATAGTGAGGAGTGGCCCGTTCGTAGTTGGTTCCACGTGACCTCTTCCCATCTGTTGAGGTACTTCTTCGGGCGGTTTTTCATGGTAGTTGCCCAGTTTTGGAGGTACCTCTTGTCCTTTAGTCTTCGCTCTTTCTTGATGACGGCTTTGGCCGTGTTGAGTGTCAGTGGGCGTATATCCTGGGCGAGGTGAGTTGCCTCTCCGGCTGCTACGTCTGCGCACTCGTTCCCTTCGAGTCCGCAGTGTGCGGGGACCCAGACGAAAGTGCAACGCCCAATCTTCTCAACCGCCTTCCATATGGTGATGCCGCAGTTGGTGTCCTGACCCTCTGGGCCTGTCGCTAGTTCGCTGAGCGAGGAGAGGGAATCAGTCATGATTCTGACGCTGGTGCCGTGTTCCTGGCCGAGGGTACTCACATACTCCAGGGCTATTTTGATGGCCTCCATCTCTGCTTCCTAGGAGGACGCCACAGCACTAGCTTGGCTGACCGCTTTCCTAGGAAAGTCATTCTCAGACAAAAAAATTGACTAGCTTGCTGACGGATTGAATCTCGCAGAGCTTCAAGGGATGAACTTCTTCACCAGTCAGTGTCAAAGGCAAGCAATTTGAAGAAAGACTCAGCAGAATGATTCTCAGTGACTTCTACAACACAGTAGAAGCTACAGACCCAGAGAACGCGTGGTTCTTGCTTAACGAGCCAAAATCACATTGATTAATCAGAATCTGGAAGGTCAAGAAGAGTCTGGCATAGATTAATTTTTTGGAAGAAAGCTTCTCCATACTGGAAGCTTTTAAAACCAAAATTATGCTACTGTGGATAAAAAGATGATACAAACGAAATTCACACGACGAAATTCATACAAGCGAGTATTATTAAAACCGACATAACTCTAACTGATATGCAAACTTTCTGCGATCAGAGCTTGTTGGGACCTCGAAGGTCAATGTCAAAGATCAATTCGCAAACCATTCGAAATCATTCTTCAGAAGACCAGATAATAGTTGTAAAGCATTCAGCGCTAGTTAGTCTCTTATGTCCAAACTGCGGGATAATATCATAGTCCTCCAAGGCGAAAAAAACGTAACTCCTGTGTTAACATACTATAATTGGTCGTGATGAATTACCCAAAAACATCAACATCACATGAAATAGTTGAAGTAATCAGAGAGTAAACATCATTCTGATGGGGAAGTAGTAGAAAACTGATAACGGCACTTTAGTAGGTATATTCCCTGCTTTAACTGTCAACGGCGTGGAAATGGTCCTCATAGATGGTACCAAGTTGAAAATGCAAGTAGGTAGAGTGCTGGAAAAACATGTTTCGTCTAACATTTAAGAGAAGCTTGAAAAACTTGCTATAAATGAAGTTATGAAGCCTGCGATGATAACAAACTCTTCTTTTTAGGAACAGTGTTTTGGATTGGTCGATTTTACGCAAACTGCTCTTAGCAGCTGTGCAATCCAGCGAGGATTTCGGACATATAGTCGTGATGTGTTGCCAACCCTGTACGCAACACATAGGCAGTTAGAGACTTTGCCGATAATCAGCGAGTACAACGCCCAAGTGAAACAAACCCAGGCTCATTTTTCATTCTGCCACGGCTGGAGGCAGTGAAAGTGAAGTTACAACACATCGTCAGACAGAGTTTTGTTTTTCGGTGATCCTAAAGATCGAATAGTTGTAAAGACTGGAAGTTCAAGGGTACCTTTTAATTACAAAGAATTTCAACCGCTTTTGTGGTTTGGTATGTTTGTACGCTCCACGAAAATTCACTTCGCAGATGATCCCACTCACTTTGAGTTAGGACTTAGAGTGAACCAACTAAATCGATAAAAGGTTTCAGAATGCCAAAGAAGAGTTATGCTCAAAAGCAGTTGTGCAATCTCACTGCATGGGAAAAGAAAGGATAGTGTAATAAAATATTCACTAAGTCTGTTTAAATTCCATGGATTTGTGTCCCGTAATGTATTTTTTTCAAGCTTATTTAATTCTTGATATTTTTCTTGCATTTCAAAGCTTCCTTTTTACTGGTTGTTTTTCACAAGAGTTTTTGCGAGTCGCAGTATAGCCTATGGTAAAATTCAACCCTGTGATTAGAAGATTAAGTAGTTCAACTGGATCGCAAATGCAAAAATCAACAGGGTACTTTTGGTAAATTGACATCTTCGATATCAGTTTCATATTGGTGCCAAGTTGAATTTATGGCTCTGCGGCGTTAGTGGTGCAAAAATCACTTTTGGCTGCACTTTTAAAAAATTGGATTCACATTCTAACGTCACTGCAGGGTAAAAGTATGCCAATAGTTTGTCGCTTGAATTTTAGCGCCCTGTTTAGGTGGTGGACTTTGCAGTGTCTCAGGGAAAAGTGGCAGTACATTGTCATGCGGGAAAGGGACGAACAGGTAGCCTCATAGCCTGCTACTTTGTGTACGTCCACAGAGTGCCAGCCAGTGCTGCTATATTCTACGTCAGAAACAAGAGAGCCGGATCCATTCAGACTAAAGGACAAGTGAGTAGTTGATGCAATGAAACTTTGGTTTCGATTTTGTTGTTTGATAATGTCGTAGTCTTGTGGTATTTAATATCTTTAAGGGTAGCATTGGCTTTTTCTTGCTTCATTTTGAATGTAACTTCATTGAAAATGGTGATTATCTTTTTTTTTTACTAGTACAGGTTTTCTGTGCCAAGAATTTTTTGTCGACTTTTCATATTGGTAATTTTTTTGCGCCAAATTTATTGACAGTGAGCTTCTTGTCGAGGCCAATGGTGCTGTCGCGACTCATGGGATTCCAGTCAAAATTATACCGATTTTTCGGTTGAAAACTAAGAAGGCTCGAATCTCAAGTTTAAACGATAATTAAGCAGTTTTAACTTAGTCAGTCTGTCTTATTAGTAAATATAATAGGAGGATAGTTACCATCTGGTGAATTCTCTTAAAATCCTTTTAATTCGCTTCTGTTACCTTTTGATGTAGGTGGCTCCTTAGACAATCGGACTTACATACCAATAGTAGGAATCAAGTTTCAATATACTTATGTTGGCTTCGATATATCTCTTTTGATTTTGAAGAGAAAACCAATCCTTTCTAGGGGTGCAATTTTTGCTTAATGCTGAGCTAAGACTGCTTGTTACTTGTAAACCCAGTTGTTTTTCTTGAATTTCTTCAAGTATTTGCGCACCGAGTTAAAGTTAAGAGCAATGTGTTTGACACTATGTTCAGGCTGATTAGATTTAATTGTGCTCGATGAGGGTTGGATTGGATGCAAGTGTTTTATAATCATCTGCATAGCCGTAGCAAACATTTTAGATGCGGATAATAGATCGGTTATCAAAGAGGAAGAACACAGGCATTAGTAGCGATCCTTGTTGCAATTTCTGCAGATGTTGCTGTTCTCTGTTCGTTAATAAGTCTGATAGGGCATTATCTGATCTACTTATACATAAGTCATGAGGTGCTTTTTCATTAATTTGATTATTATTATGTTTTTAAAATCAATGTTTATTTATCTACAATACACTTTTTTAACAGACCATCAAAAAAATTGTTTTGTTTAAATGTTTTTTTTCGTCTTTAATTGGATTGTATAATGGCAAGGTTTTTGCCTCGGGTCTTCAAAACATACTGCTGAATGTCGTATCCCATCGTTGTAATTTTCACTTTTATTTCGTTTCTTTTTCTCAGGTGATGATGGTGAAAGACTTTCAAACCTTCTTGGAGCATTTCTGGGTGATTTTTCCTCGAATGGAACCTGAAATTGGACTCCGCACTCTGGAAACTTCGCTGAATCTTCAGAACAAAATACTACACGGCTCCGAGAGGAAATTTTTGAAACATACGCCCAAGGTTCATTTTTAGTCCGCGTTTATAAAGTCTATTTTCCATACAAATTGGTCGAATTTTTTGGACATTTTAAAAGGCCATACGTCGGAAAAGCAGTCAAAGCAGAAATATAAAGAACTGTAAAACGAACACTTTGCCTTAGCATTTGCACTTAATTGTTAGAATGATGTTTAGATTGTTTACGTGGCTTGCAAAATGCTTCTTGCGTTTGCTGGCCTTAAAGCAACAGAAGAAAAATTCAAACTCGAAGGTTCCTTGGGCGAGGGATCTCAATTTCCGCCTGAACTCGAAAAAATAATTGATCTTTATTTTGAAAGACGTTTAACAGCTCTTTCAAATGGAATCGACAGGTCATTTGTTCATCAAAATAGTGAGCCTGTGCTTGGAAAGGGTTCCTTCAAATCTAGAAGCTCAGTTGATCTGACTGATGTTGGAGGAAAAGCAAATGAAAGACACAATTCGGAACCACCTCATAGAGGAATGAATCCACGAGAACATTCCAGGCTTTCGATGCACGACAAAGATCAAGAAATGCGACTGGACGACGAGCGAGACAGGTCCTGGCAACATGTTTACCCCGTTGAGAGCGTCATCTCTAAGGTTTCGGACCGAAAGATGGAAAGTTTACAGAAGAGAAGAACATCTGTAGGGTCCATAGACTCCACTAGCAAACACATTTATGACGTTTCGGATAAGCTTGAAAATGGCACCGCAGCTCGTAATGGAAAAGTTTTTCCTGTCGAAGAAATTTTGGAAGCTTTGAAGTCTTATGATGATGATTCGGTTCTGGAGGCTGTCAAACTTCTGGAAGAGGAAATGAATATTGCGCCCAGATGTTGGGATCTGATGTTGCGGCAAAAAGATCCTAAAGTGGTGTCTGTTTTATTATGGGACTGGTAAGTAAACATTCTGCTTTTTACGGGGATGAAATTTTCAAAATCTGCCTTGTTCGAAAAACGTTTAAAACAGTGTTTATTACCAAAGCCAATTTCACATTTACTAATCAACGCTCGTGATAATTTTTTTTTCAAAATTCCGGATGCTAGTTGGATATCGTTTTGGATGTGGGTGAAGTTTTTAGGCGGCAATGATCAGTTATTACAAGCATAATGGTTGGTTTTTACACTTGCGAAGCAAAGTGTATTAGTACGAACTTTTTTTTTCTAAGCTAAGTCGTAAATTTAGTTTCTGCTTTTGGTGGCAATTTTGAAGGCTGCGGTAGCAGTATAATATCATGTGCTTTGACATTTGATTAGTAAAAAGTTAACACAGCTGATGCCTTTTTAATTCATCAAATGAACCGAAAGTTATTTGTTTCAAAGAGCAGTACAATGATAAAAAGCTCGATTTCAGAAATTTTCCAACTTAATGTATATAGCAATTTTTTTTGAAATGCATAATCTATACATAATGTGGCGTTATGCTGTCCAATTTATTCCTTGTAAAATTGTGTCTTTTTATATTTGGTGCTACTTTTGCTGCATCGAATTGCAATTTAATAGCATATGTAGCTGTTCTATTGGTGGCTAGTTTTTGTAGATTTTAAGCATCCGTGGCTGAATGGTTTGTGTGTGAGACTCAAATTTGCTAGGTCGCAGATTCGAATCCTACGCTTAGCCGAGTTTTTCTAATTCGAGGCTTATTTCTACTTTTTTTTATTTCACTTGATAGCTTTTTGGTCGTGTTCTTGCAAGTGTTTGCGAAGCGCAGCTTCGCCTCAGTGTTAAATATGTTAAAAAGTTTTTTAAGAGTTTATGAACGTAGTAATTATAGGTCGTGATGATTTTTTAAGGAAAAGTCAAAATTTGTTCAGGCAGTTGTTTTGACTTTTGATTTCTTTTGAAGTTCAGTTCATTTCCTTTGTTAAAAGGAAGGCAAACTCCACTATCGAACAGCAAAAATTATTAAGTCACGAAAATTGTCAATGAATTTATGTCTCAAAAATTGAAGGAAGTGCTGGTAGTAATTTGAAAAAAAAGTTGGTCGTGAAGAAATTTTGAAAAAGTGAGCTAACGTTTTTTATCTCCTTTTTTTAGGTTTTTTGAGTTCTTTTACACTTCAACCATCTATGGGCATTGTTTAAGGTTTGACCAGCTGAAGTACTCACTCCTGTCATCCGGGGATTTAGAGGACCTCATCAAATCACCACTGCCAGAACAATATCAGGCAGTAAATAGTGGAACAGACAGTGTCGGCATTCTGCGGGAGATCATCAGAAATATACTGAAGAAGCCAGATGCGACGGAAACAATACTGACATTATTAAGAACTGTTGTCCATTTGTGCCCGACAGTCAGTGAGTTTTCAGACATTTTGCCGACGATGTTGACCCACTTGACGCAAACAGGGTTGAACAGGAAGAGTTCTTTGCAGAAGTCTTCCGGAAGTTTAGAAAAGCGAAAACCAGATTTATGGAATAACTCTTTGAGAGTTTTCACGAACTTCTACTATCATTTAAAATCAAATAAAGTGAGTAATGACAAAAATTTAATTAGTGAAAGTTTGACTAGCAGCTCAGACTATAGAGATTGTGGTCCTATTGAAGATATTTTTTCCACTAGATGATAACAAATTAATGAATGATAGTTATTAATAACAGTCTATATGTTTCAGAATCTGTGCAATCTGTAAGTTTTTCGTAGTGTGTATCTTACATTCCATTGCATTTTAAGTCATCATAGATAAAATCATCAACAAAAATCGACGGCCAAAAATTCCATCTTGTGTTAGTTGGACTGAGTTAGGATCATGTTAACAATTTCCCCCCTAAATGGACTAAATGAACTATTTTCCACCTAAAAAGGTTAACTGCAAGTTTGGTTAACAAAAACAGTAAACATAAACGTTGGCATTTAAAACATTGACATTAACAGTAAACATTCAGTTGGCTTAGTGGGAGATCGTTCACTCGGTCCCTGTTTTCTACTTGATGACAAATTGTTGCCAATACCTTGGTGATTATTTTTCATTCGGTCAAAAAACCGTGTGATTGCAGTTACTTGTTTTAAGCGTTGAAATGCATGAAAAATACATTTTGCACATCAAACAAACCTTTTTTTTATTGAAGTTCGTATCGCTTCGTTGACCGAAAAGAATGTTGCTGACAAATCGGCTTTAGTTTGTGTTAATGTTTATTTTTGTGTGGTATTTTCTTGTTTGTTGTGTAAGTATTTCTTGCGGAAAAGTTTTCGTATGTTTTGATCCGTCATGTTTGATTTTTCTTCATCAATAGTTAGGTAATCGCAAAGCAATCAAAAATATGTTTCTGCTGTAAATATGATAAATACTGTTATAAATTGTACATATTTGAACACGCATAGATATGTTCACTGGTAAATTTAATTTTGCTATGTGTTTTGGTCAGCTGTTTAGGTTTTGCGAACATCTCACAAATCTTAAAAGAGCTACGGAGCTTGATGACCGCTACTTCAGTTTCTGTCCATATTTTTCTAGGTGCTGAGTCAAAGAGTGGCTTTTTGAGTGTAATGTCTAACGGGATAATGGCTTGGTAGTATTTGGGGGGGGGGCAGGGGTTTAACTGGATGCAGAATAAATAGGGAACAAATTCAAGGTTTACAAATTTCTAACGTATCCGGTAGCGATAACGATGGTGTCCAGCAATTGTATGATAGTGGCTTCAAATCGCACGTGTGCTGCAGTTTGCATTGTGAGAGCTTGCAACATAGTCATAGCCCAGGTTTAAATAATTAACCTCGGGTTAGGCCTCCAGGATTGTTGACTGAAAAACCATGATTGAAATTTGCTCAAATTTGTATCGGTCGTGTATGTTATCAGGAAAATGTTCTTGAGTGTATTCACACTTAATTTTTTATGGTTGCAGTTGGACTTCTGACCTAATGACCTTTAGTGAAGTTCCTTATAAAACTTAATTTTTAAATGCGAGACACATTCCGCTCTTTTGTGACAATTAACGAGAGAAGGGCAGATCTGCATTTTAATCTTCGAAATTGATCTTACTTTTAACATATCCCAAAGAAATATTTCGAATCATTTTGTTGTTCCAATCGTTGAAAAAGGGGAAGAACTTTGTTTTCCGGTGTGTTTCAGTTTTGCACGCAAAATCAGGTACCAAAAATAATTATCGGAATGGTTCGAGTAATATATCTCAATGCGCTTGCAATCGTAATTTGAACGACTATAAAAATTTTAAGTGAAATAGCGGATTGTTTTTTATGATTGGGTATGAACCCAGTTTTCTCTAATTGGGTCTTTGTGATGAAAAAACGTGTCATTAATAGAATATTCTTGAAATTTAAAGGCAGCTAAATTGATACACTTTTTCATGGGAAAATGAAGAAAATGGGACACACATTAAGGGGATAAATAATTTTTCCACTTTTCCTTTGTATCGCATATAATTTATTTGATTGTGTCCCAGCATAGCCTCCGGCCTGATATTTGCTCAAAACAACAACGGTTGTTTCCCAACACAGATTGCTCGAGATGTTGGCAATCATGTTGAAACACTAGCTGAAGCATGTAAAATATGTTAAAATTGAGTTGGCCTATATCCAAAATATTCGAAATTCTTACAGCACATCCAAACAAGACTACATGCATCAGGGTGAATCCCTGAATGTTCCGACTGCCCTTTAACGTCTGTTGAGTAGTATTTCACTTTTGAGCAGTAAAAAGTTTCATATTGTATAAATCATCACCTGACACGCTATTTATGGTACAAAGTATTACGTTTAGCAAATGGCACAGTTTTAAATTAATCAAATAGCATGCCTCAAGTTAATTTGGAACGATTTCTAAGACGGATTAAATCTCTGCTTGTCCCAAATTGGCCATAATAGCAATCTTGAAACCCCTATAACTTTAGAAAAATGATCACAGGAGAAATATTTTTTTAGTTTTGAGCTCAAGACCAAAACTTTCCGGCAAAATTCCCAGTTAGAACTCAAATTTGTTTGGAAATATTCCTTCACTGCCTCGAATATTTCATTTTGATTAAAGTTTTGAGAATTATTGAATTTTGTACTGCTATTATTGAATATAAATTGCCCAAATTTAATCGAGTATAGATCAGCAATTAGTTTGCCAAAGTTCATTTTGAAACGATTATATTGCAGTTTAACTTAGCGCGCGTAAAATTTTTTTGTATTGAAGCTTTCAAGTCGTAATCGAACTGGTTGCAGTCGAGTTTAGGCTTTTGCATGACCATACGCTTGACGATGCGAAGACTCAAATATAGATCCTCACGGTGTTGACTTCCGTGTAATCTTGATCTGAACAAAAAAACGCCTCAAGCATATATTTCTCAATTTATTCAAAAGTTGAAATAAAAATACCACAAGCCTAGTCATTTTTCTTTTTTACAAAAGTCGGAGCGAAACAGCGCAAAATTTTATTGATTGTGTCCCAGCATAGCCTCCGGCCTGATTGTTTCCCAAAACAGCAACGCTTAAATCCCAACACAGGTTGCTCGAGATGTTGGCAATCTTGTTGAAACACTAGCTGAAGCATGTAAAATATGTTAAAATTGAGTTTGCCTATGTCCAAAATTTTCGAAATTTTTACAGCACATCCAAACAAGACTACATGCATCAGGGTGAATCCCTGAATGTTCCGACTGCCCTTTAACGTCTGTTGAGTAGTATTTCACTTTTGAGCAGTAAAAAGTTTCATATTGTATAAATCATCACCTCACACGCTATTTATGGTACAAAGTATTACGTTTAGCAAATGGCACAGTTTAAAATTGATCAAATAGCATGCCTCAAGTAAATTTGAAACGATTTGTAAGACGGATTAAATCTCTGCTTGTCCCACATTGGCCTTAATAGCAGTCAAAGTTTTTTTGGAAATGTTCCTTCACTGCCTCAAATATTTCATTTTAATTAAAATTTTGAGAAACAATCAATTTTGTGCTGCCAATATTGAATATAAATTGCCCAAATTTAATCGAGTTTAGATTAAGTTTGGGCAATTAGTTTGTCAAAGTTCATTTTGAAACGATTATAATTGCAGTATAACTTAGCACGCGAAAATATTTTTTTTTGTATTGAAGCTTTCAAGTCGTAATCGAACTGGTTCCAGTCGAGTTTAGGCTATTTCAAGACCATACGCTTGACGATGCGAAGACTCAAATATAGATCCTCACGGTGTTGACTTCCGTGTAATCTTGATCTGAACAAAAAACACCTCAAGCATATATTTCTCAATTTATTCAAAAGTTGAAATAAAAATACCACAAGCATATTCGTTTTTATTTTTTTTCTTAAGTCGGAGCAAAACAGCGCAAAAATATATTTTCATTACTTTCTTCGAGACGCAAAATTAGAAATGATTGTGTAATGGAATGATTGTATAATGCTTACAAGAATAAATTCATTATTTTCAAAGTCAACAGTAACACCTTGCTCCTTCCACCCACACTCCATGTATTGGTTTTCAGTTTCAGCGATGTCACTAGACGGATGATTTGATTTTGTATCACGAACATTTAACTATTCTGAAAGCCTTTCTGCTTTGCCAAAAAACCGTATTCATGCATAATAGCAGACAATTTGTGAACTAAAAATGATATTTGTAACGCAGGTGGAACTTGAAACAAGCATTTATAAAAGTTTTTTGGCTTTTCTAATATCCTCCCTTACTGCTAACGCAGAAAAGAGTTTAACTATAGTAACGCACGTTATTAAATTTTAAAAACTGCAGTTTTCACAAGGGACTGTAGGACTGCCCAGTTGCAACCTCGTTGGAGCGGTCAACCAACCGAATTTTGGAAATCTGGACCAAATCATTAAGTCAACCAACCGAATTTTGGAAATCTGCCTGGTTTTAAGTTGGTGCGCAATGAAGTTGAATTCAAAAAAATTTGACATATTAGAATAAACAGAACCAAAAGTCAAACTTGCGACGGAAAACCTCAAATTTTTTCGATATTTAAGATAGGAGACAAGCTAAATTTATTCAATATCGTTATCAGTCAAAAAAAGTTCAATGACGTTTATCTTTTTTTTCTCACGTCTAACTAGATAATACTCACAACCAACATTAAGTCATAACTGATAAAACTAGAGTTTATTATCGCCTTCTACTTGGATCAATTATTTTGCTCGAATGAATTTGTTTTTTTTTTCTAACTACACGATAGAACTTTAGATGAACGGAACATGGCCCGGTTAAATTTGTTCAAAATATCAGAGGTGACAAAGCTCAAATGCCCATATTTTCCCGTTGTTAAAAAGAACTTGCAAAGGGACGGATCGTTTTTTCTCGAGGGAGGGGTGGTGGGGATTTTGAAAAATAGTTTGAAAGCTTTGTCCACCAATTTTTTAGGTTGAATAATTTGTATGTCCGAGCTCCCCCAAAGCAATATTTAGACCGTTCCTGTCAAACTTTCTGCGCGGCAAAACTTTCAAAATCAAAGGCCAAAAAGACGCTTTTAGGCACTTTTATGGAAAATTTCCTTACGAGTGCAAACTGTGCATTTTGTGCTTGTATGCGGATTCCGCAACAAGGACGCTCCCTTTGTTCCTATTTTGTTCTTTACTTTCCTTTTATCGTTCCGACAAAATTTTAGTTTTTGTAAAGACTTGTCTCTGGAATCCAGGAACATACAGACACAAAATTGTGCGGCTATCCAGTGCACAGTTTGGCCTCGTAGTGTTTGACCAAAAGATTGCAGTTTTTCGTGCGCGCTTCCCCATCAATATTTGTCGCCCTAAAAAAGGTAGGGTCCGTCAGCCAAAATGGATGTCTCAAAAAAGTACAAAAGAGGGACGTTTTTGATCGGCAGGGAAATGAATCCCTGAGGGGGGGGGGTTGGTGCCGTTAGGTTTCCAACATTTCTCAATTCCAAGCCCTTTTTCAGACTTAAGCGCAAAACTAAAGGTGCTGAAAACTTGTTCTAATTCAGTTCTTTGGGCATTTAGGAAAACCGGTTTGAATATACTCAATGATTTTTTTGATGTTTTTTCTTTGGCTTAAACCATTGATTTAAACGCACTTGCTTTGAAAAGCATACAATACTTTTCGAAAAAAAAGTAATTTTGAAATGATATACTAACATTTCGAAAAAGTTTTTTGGCTTCTATTGGACAAGGATTTTACCCGGAAAAAAGTGTTGGGCTTAATTAGACTTATGTCTTGTGCTTGATTAGGCTGAATAATCATAGAAACTAGTTTTAATCACTCCAGGGCAATTAAGCTAAGGCTCATGTTATGTACATACGAAATGTTCTTAAACAAGTAACCATTAAGTAAGTAACTTACATAAAAACGTTTTCCAACAAACTCATTTTATGTAACATACGAAATATAGTTTAGCAAATAATCGTTATATAAGTAACTTTCATAAAGGTTATTTTTCCAACAGAATTTC